TAAGAAGGCTTAATGTGGTCAACAGTTGTTAAATTACTACTTCTAGCCCTACCTGTCGTATCACTAAACTCTACCATGCAAAAAACATATTTCCATTAGATGAGAGAAAATTGGGATTTTAGGACCATCAGTTTGAATCACAACAATAAACTGTTCAACCATTATGGACTAGCTATCATCTATCAGTTTCACTGTACTCCAACCAAGTTGAATGTAGAGGGAGGGTGGGAGGAACCAGTAAACAGGAACAGTAATACCAAAAGCACAAGACTTTATGCACTTGGAGATATCACCACTCACCTGTTAAAAGCTCCTTTCCTGTAACCTGGGAGATTTGATCATAATCCTTCTTTTCTTTCTTTTTCTTTTTCTTTATTCCAGCGGCTTTTACATCCAATGCCTTTCCCTTTAGTTTCAACTTCCCGCCAACCACATTATCATATGCAGACATTTCTGTCAGGAAAGTCAAAAACATTGAGCTTTGGCCACAATAACAAAAACTGTAAGAAGGAAACTATTGGATTGATAAGCTTAATATGTAGGCATTCACATGTCATATTTTCAAACTAAAAATCTGTGTCTGTGGTTCAGCAGTAGTTATGGTGCTCACCTAACTATCTATTGTTCATGCCAGTGTTATAAAAAGCGGTCGCTTCCTTGCTTAAAGCGAGAAGCGAAGCGAAGCGGCTCTTTAACCGCTTCTGCCATGTGAAGCGACTTAGGTAGAAAAAAGCGACCGCTTCCCACTAAAAAGCGAGAAGCGACCAATCGAAGCGACACGATGCAAGGGAGCGCTTCTTCTTCAACGCGACAGCTGCCAGGCTTTTTAATTAAAAAAGAAGGGTTTCAGTGTTTTTTTATTAAATACGACCAGCAGATATTCAACTAAAGAGGCGACTAGGGTTCTTCAACTTCAAGTCTTCACAGGTATGTGATGATTTTCCTCCTCCTCCTCCTCCTTCTTCTTTTTCTTCTTTTTCTTTTTCTTTTTTGTTTTTGTTTTTGTTTTTGTTTTTCTTTTTCTTTTTCTTTCACTGTTTCAACGTCCAAATAGCAGCGAAATGCTAGCGAATTTTTTTTTTTCCTTCGGTTCTTCTTTCTCATTCTTCTCCTCTTCGTTGAAATGCTGCCCAATTTTTTTTTAATTGTTTTTATGCTGCCCAGTTTTTAACAGAACTTATGCAGTATTTTTTTAATTTTTTTTTTTAACTTCCGCTTTACTTCAAAAAAGCGAGCGCTTCGCTTCTCGCTTTAAGCGAAATGGGGGTTGTCGCTTTTTCTCGCTTCACGCTCTTCACAACACTGGTTCATGCATATGCCTACTTTTATCCATTTTACTATAATCAACATCCTGACAAGCTACAAATATTTTCTTCATTATTCACACACTTTTCTTAAATTTCAATATAAACAGTATATATGCATTTGACATGATTCACCTATTTCTCCTGCTGCCAGTCGGCCACACCCCATCAGTAAAAGAGGAGAACTAACACTAGGTTTTGAAACCTAACACTTCAGGTATATGCCACAAAAATAAGAATAGCTTGTAGAAAACATTGCATTGTGAATTTCGTGAAATTCAAATGAGAATCGATAAAATATCATCCCCATGTTTGAATGCAAACATGGGGATGATCCAGAGAAATGGGGAGATCGACGAGGATGCCACACACAGTATTGGGGTGGGGTGGATGAAATGGAGGTTAGCATCTAGAGTTCCGTGTGACAAGAATGTGCCAATGAAACTTAAAGGTAAGTTCTATAGAGCGGTGGTTAGACTGGCTATGTTGTATGGGGCTGAGTGTTGGCCAGTCAAGAATGCACATATCCAGAAGATGAAAGTAGTCGAGATGAGGATGTTAAGGTGGATGTGCGGGCACACGAGGCTGGATAAGATTAGGAATGAAAATATTTGGGAGAAGGTGGGTGTTGCTTCCATGACAAGATGCGGGAAGCGAGGCATAGATGGTTCGGGCACGTGAGGAGGAGGCGCTCAGATGCCCCGGTTAGGAAGTATGAGTGGTTGGTTTTGGCAGGTACAGAAGACGTAAAGGGCAGCCTAAGAAGTATTGGGACGAGGTAATCAGGCATGACATGGCGCGGCTTCAGATTTCCGAGGACATGGCTCTTGATAGGAAGGTTTGGAGTTCGAGCATTAGGGTTCTAGGTTAGGGGGTAGTCGAACATTTTTTCTCTTTGTACCGGTTAGTCTAATAGAGTTTTGTTTAGGACTGCTAGCGGGTTATGTTGTGTGTACACTATTTTTCTCTTTTTGCATAGTATTGGGTTATTACCCTTCCACATATTTACTGTCTTGTTCGATTGCTGAGTATTATTTTTCTGGGTTTTTTTGTTGTTACCGGTTTATTCTTTTGTTCTTTTCTGATATTATCATCTCGTCTATTGAGCCAAGGGTTTTCCGGAAATACCTTCCTTACCCCCGGGTATGGGTAAGGTCTGCATACACTCTACCCTCCCCAGACCTCACTAGTGAGATTCTACTGGGTGGTTGTTGTACGTTTGAATGCAAAATCACAAGGGCTCAAGTGTCTGGTCAATGCTCCAACATGACCTCAATAGTTCCAAACTTCCAAGTTTCTCATTTTACTAGCTGACCTGCCCAGCCAAGAAGTTAAACCAGCTATATCAACCTCCTCATCACATTTGTTGGGCCAAGAGTATGCGGATTACTGAACCAGGAATGTTCTTTAAATTTCTAGAGAATATGTGTCTAGATTCATTACACTTGAATAACGAAAATCTTATAGAGTGTTGTATAAGAGATCGTATGATATTGTGCATTTGCTTTTAATTATATACTTCCATTAGCCTAGAGAATGATTACCAACCATATTGTCCGTAGCCTAAGACTCGTATATAAGGAGCACCGCTTGTACATTGTTACTTAATCAAGCGAAAAAGATTTTTTTAATGTTAGTGGAGACTCAAATAGCCTCTGTGATCTTAGTAGAAACAAGTGTCAATAAACATTAGCCGATAAAATGCTACCAATAAAAAAAAATAGGATAAAGGCATAGTTGATTGTTAGGTCATCCATTAGAGTTTCTTCACTTTCCAAAAATCCTTTAACTAGGCAATTTCAGGGATGCTGCAATTACTTCCCAATTTGCACGCCAAAAACAATGCGATTCACAAACAGATAAAAGTATAATCACATATGCTTCAATAAATCAACACAACAGATTTCATGAGCTTAAAATTCACATACTTTCGATTACATACCAGTAAAAAACCCTAATTCCTAAATCTCACATCACCATATATTTTAGCTCCGAAAGAATTAGACTTTTCACGATTCATAACAGGAATAAAAACTGAACTAAATATAAATTAACCAAATATATTCAAATAGATTTAAAAAAATTCACAATTAAAAAAAATAAAGCAATTAATTAATTTGAAGGTTTTATATTATAAACCAAATATGAGAAAGAGATACAGATGAAACCATGGTGGAGGTGATGCCGCCATCGACGGATGTCGGAGGGCGGAGGACTCACCGGAGGAGAGTTAATACGGCAGCGTCAGAACTGCACCGGAGCTTCCAAAAGCAGCAACAGAGAGAAAGTGAAATAAAAATCGGAATTTTAGCTTTGGATGAAAACGATGATATTTACGTTCGAGACCCGATAGTTTATTTAATTACATAAAGACTCCTAACTTTTCTAGGATTCTTGGAAGCATTAAATGTTTTTCCTAGTGTGAGCCTTAAAAGTCCCCGAAGTTAGGCAATCAACATAAATTCCTTTAAAAATAGATTCGTCTTTCTTAATGACTCTTCTTATAAAATAGAATATGTTTCTTAGGAGCTTGCTCCAGTTGTTAATCTCCTTCGTTACCTTGAGTTTTCTGACCGCTAATATCGAGAAATTCTAAATATATTTGATATTCTTATCAATCATCCAAATTTACGTTGTATGACGATCGATGTATTATGGTATTTCGATATTTCCCGAACTATTATTCAATTTCTAAGCTTTAAATCAATCTTCAATAGCAGAATTTTAGAGTCGACGGAAAAAATTAAAACATCATAAAGAGTTTTAAGTGTCTACACCAAAACAAGTTGTTGGTTAAAGCAATGATTCTTCAAAGTGTCCTGTTTATAGTATTAATCCCAATGTTTATGTGGTGTCTGTTGCTATTAACTCAAAACTTGTGAGCCTAAGTAGAAATTTGAAAAGTTCTTAGTTGTCTTTTTTTATAAATCATGGGTAGTTAAACTTCTTACAAAATGTATTTGTTTATTTTCTTGGAAATGATATTGATATTTTCTAAGCAATTCACACACAGTTTAGTTATATTAATATGACAAAAAATAATTTTGTGAGAGTAACATTACTGTCATAGTAGATCTTTAATGTGCCAAAAATAATTTTTAAAATTTTTATGATTATAGTGTGTAAAACGATTAACCATACATGAATTAACCCCAAAAGATAAGCACGAATATGCAAAATTCTTTTATAATAGTACGAGCTAGCCAATTTTTGGATTGATAATTGAAAAATGGACAACATTTGCAAAGTCATTAAAAAATAGCCAGCGTTTGCAAATTCATTGAAAAATAGCCATTATTTTGCTGAAACACAGAAAGTTCTAGCATAATATGCGGGATTATGGAGCTCATGCGTATAAACTTTCAGTATATTATGTTGGAACTCCATCACATTATGCTGGAAGCTCATATGTAAAAAAAAATTGAACTCCAATATATTATGCTGGAAGCTCATATGAAAACAAAAATCGAACTCCAGTATATTATGCTGGAATATTTCTGGATTTTTAAGGGTACTGTTATTCAGATTTTATCTTTACATAAAAAAGTGACTAAAATTTGATTACTTTTAAAATTGTGACTATTTTTCAATTGGCAGTCGTAAATCTGAGCACTTTTTTATTTTTTCCCCCATCTATTTAGCTATGTCAATTGCCAAGGGCCCAAGAGAAGTATCAAACATTAACTCATATATTGATCAAAAGCACAAGAGCAATCTTAACTTTACTAATGCATCAAAAACATTCTTTTATATTCTACCATCCTCTTTCAATAGAGGATATTATTCTGGAAATAGTTTAATAATTAAAAAAAAAAAAGGACAGTCCGATGCACTAACAAAAAAAAAAAACTCTGAAAGAGCCTCTCTTGTTATTATAATTTCTTTTCATTTTTCTCCACTTAACCATTTTCATGGCTCAAATGAATGGAGAAAACCTCAATTATATAGTCAACAGGCTACCAGAATCTCGCTTCTCGTCGCCGAAAATCCGTTGCCGGAAGTCATCAACCATCATCGGAAGTCCTTGCCGGAGGGAAACTGTTGGCTCCCACCCAAGAAGTTGTTTTGCTTTTGTAATGTCAGGTTTCCTCTTGTGAGGATCATCTTCTGTATTTGACCTAAATTCTATCTTTGCATTTGGATCTATTGTTTCTTGCACCACCTGCAAATATATTAGCTCAATACAAGTTTTAATAAGTAGTACCATTTATCTATATTGCTCGGATTTTTAAAAAATGTCTCTGAGTGCATGTCGGATCCTCCAAAAGTAATGTATTTTTGGAGAATCCGATACGGGTGCGGTAACATTTTAGAGAGTCCGCGTACCACAATAATTTATGTATCTAGAAACAAAGTAATGAATGTCAAGTCCAACGAAAGATATGATTTTCAGGCCTATTTTTCAAACTTTGTCATGTTTGCTTGTATAGTCAACTCTCTCTATTAACAGTTTTGTTTGTTCCGAATATTTTTGGTTGTTATAGCGAAATGCTGTCAGAGAACATAACAACATTATGTTTAGGACTCATTAAATGTATATGTCAAATGGTCGTAGTAAACTATCCAACTAGTCGCATAGATATACTTATTTCACCCAATAACAACATCAAGATGCATATTTTGGCGCAGGTACTATGCTTATCTAAAATAAAACTTAATCTGACAATATAAATGACGGTAAAAGTTTATTTGCAACGGGTATTTACATCAAATCAATAAATGCATAACATATATGTCTTTGCACGTAAACTTTCACTTAATCATGATTAATAGATATATATATATATANAAATATTGGATGCAGGTAAATATTTACATATAAAAAACATATATTCACATTTTTTTCTAGTTCTAGGAAATCTGAGTCAAAGATATACATGAACATGTAGATTTGGCTTGAAAATTGAGTTTTAAGATTCAATCTCTGGATGCAATAAAATTACTTGCTCATTTAAGATTAATTAAAGTAATTTTTTGTGTAATACCTTAGCTAATTCAAGCATGGTGAATTCCCCAGGATTCCCAAGATTGAAAGGACCTACATGATCTCCTTCCATCAACCTCATCAAACCTTCTACCTGTATAATTCCATACATAAAATATTTACACGATCGGGTCATTTACTAAGTACATAATTACAGGTAATTTCTTAATAAATATTAATTGGTTCTGGCAAAAACGATATCTATAACATCAGAGACGAAAACAAAATTTGAAATTTATGGGTTCTGGGTTCTGAATTTGCCACAAAACTCATAGCTCGTCTTAGTTATTGGATTAACAATTAAATATTTATACATATTTAATGAGTTTCCATATATAAATATAATGCTTAACCAAATGTGACTGGGTTCGGCCGAAACCGCACACAATAGACTAGCTCCACCTATATATAACATTCTATATCACATGTTAAAGTTTACTAGTAGTATAAAAAAAATATTTACATCATCGGTGTATATAACTTAAATTCAAGTAGATAGAGGTTTTTTTTTTTTAAAACCACAATTAGTTTTTCATAATAACTCAGTAACAATCCTAATAGAATTAGAAGCACTGCATTTTATTTTATTTTTTTGACTGAGTTGAAAAAGTGAATAGGAAATAAAAATTTACCAAATCAGAAACAAACTGAAAGCTCCTGGTTTGTTTCCCATCTCCATAAACTGTCATTGGCTCCTTTCTCAAGGCCTACATATTTTTATATATTCAAATGAAAGTAATGAATATTAAATCAAATCAAATACAAAGAATACACTATTTGGGATTTTCTTTAATTTGATAAAATAACACAAACCTGTGCAACAAAATTGCTCACAACACGACCATCATCTATGCACATACGTGGTCCATATGTGTTGAAAATCCTAGCAATCCTAACCTACCAAAAATTTAAAAAAAAAAAAAAAAACTTTAAATTGAAAACTATTCATCGAAAAATTCAACATATTGAGAATATTTTTTTATTTGACATAGGAAAATGTTCAAAATTTGTCATGTACTATTTGGAATTGCTCAATTTTATCATTTATTACATTTTTGGTCCATTCATACTCTTGTTGTTAACAAATCGTCTCGTATTTGTCCTCTATTATTAATTGAGTTACAATTTGAAATGGGTCGACTTCATATGTCCAAACCCATAGGAAAATAAGTTCAAATTTACTTCTTAGCTTCTTATTATTGTTTAAAATTACGTTAAGATGGAGCTCCGTTAGGGGGTCAAGGCAAAACAATTTTTTTTCTCTTAATGGCAGGGATAATATCAGAACAAAAATTTAATAGAGACCGAAAATTGTGTAATTTCGAACAGTGGCAGCCCGGTGCACTAAGCTCCCGCTATGCGCAGGGTCCGGGGAAGGGTCGGACCACAAGGGTCCATTGTACGCAGCCTTACTTTACATTTCTATAAGAGGTTGTTTCCACAGCTTGAACTCGGGACCTCCTGGTTACATGATAATAACATTACCAGTTACGCCAAGGCTCTCCTTGAACATATATATATGATTCCGAACTTCGAAAAATCATATGAATTTCCTAAAACTGTTACGCATCTTTTCTAAGGACCCGTTTGGCCATAGATTTTGCCAAAATAAATTTGGGTTTTATTTGGCAAACACATGTTTGGTCATAGATTTTGCTTATATTTTGGTAAAATCCCAAATTCCAAATTCCAAATCCCAAAACCAGCTCAATAGCTAGTTTCGAGCCAAAATATTTACAAACACTAATAATATACATGTTTTTCCAAAATAAATTTGGGAAATATGTGTTTGAAAACGTACGTCCAAACACAGTTTTATCTTCAAACCAAACTTCAACCAAATCAGATTTTTTAAAACAAATTTAGAAATCTATGACCAAACGCTAGCTAAGTATCAAGTAGAAAATAAACCTCAATGTTGAGTCCTCTATGGTAGTCCATGGTCAAAGTTTCAGCTGTACGTTTTCCTTCATCATAACAACTACGAACACCTGCTCAATGCTCATTTGAAAGGTAAAGCAAAACATTAGTTTTGTAACGTCGTACAAATGACAACCTGCTATCACATGTTAAAATATACGAATAATTTAAAAACTCTTTAGACTGACAGTATATATAACTTAAATCCATTATCAAAACTACGAGTAGAATGAAGTGATTTACCAATGGGATTAACATTGCCCCAATAAGTTTCAGCCTGAGGATGTTGCAATGGATCACCATACACTTCACTTGTGCTTGTAAGCAAAAATCGAGCACCTATTCTTTTTGCTAATCCCAACATGTTCAATGTTCCCATCACATTTGTTTTGTGATATCTATCCAATTTATAGTCAAGGAATCTTGCCCCAAAAATACCTCCAAAATACCAACATGTATTTACATAGTATAATTGTATACATGCAGTAAACTACTACAACAACAACCCAGTAAAATCCGACAAAGCAGAGATGTTATTTTCAATAGACCATCGGCTCAAGAAGACGGAAAGAGATAATACATCAGTACTATCAATAAAAACCATAGAAATAATAACAGCATCATAAGAACAAAAAAATAGATGAAATAAAGCAATAACAATAACCAGTAAATAAGGCCCGACACTATGAAAAACGGAAGAGTAGTTGAACACAACATTAACCACTAGCAGTCTAAGACAAAATCCTAACTGACTAGCCTCTTACCGGTACGAAGTAGAAATATGCTCAACTACCTCCTAACCTACAACCCTGATGCTCGACCTCCACACATTTGCAGCGAACTACTTAGTTATATACTTCACAATTACAATTTAAATAGAAGAGAATAATCCTAAAAAGGTTTAATTTTACTTATTAATCTTTCTCATTTTAATACAATGATCATATAACTAAGAACATTTGTAATAAGACATAAAACCGACTTGATTGCATATATGGACATAAAAGGTGCAATGTATCAAATTCTCATTAAGAAATACGGATTATACGGCAAAAACCTACTCGCACTGGATATTTACACCAAATCAATAGATACATGGCATGTGTTTTGCATATGGACTTCAATTATTTAACCATGATAAATTATACACATTCTTATCTAATTAAATTAGTTAACCATAGTAAGTTAATGTAGTTTGGTGTAAACACCCGGTATGGATAAGTATTTACCCGGATTATACCATCTTGAGTACCTGTAATGCTAAAAATGATTTTATTTATGTGCACAGACGGTAAAGATTTTTACACTATCAATATATCTTAATTCAGCTATAGCAAATAACTTATCTTATTCACCATATTACTAATATCTTGTTATAAACAGTTATTTATAGTTTTTTTAGATGACAAAAAAATCTGTTACTGTCTATCCAAAATCTCTCCCCTCTATCCCTTTTCAACCACGCCATCAATCCCATTTTTCACTCGATTAAAGCCAAATATTTAAAAATAACATCCGATGCACAAGGTATTTCGTGTTCATATAGGGTTCGAGGAAGGAGCGTATCCCAAGGGGTGTGATGTAGACAATCTACCCTAATGCAAGCATTAATGGTTGCTTCTAACGCTCGAACCCGTGATCTATAGGTCATACAAAAATAATTTTACCGATACTCCAATGCTCCCTTTAAAGCCTGAATATAAAGAAAGGAGATCAAAAAGATAGTCGAACGACTTAGTATTTATGTTTTAAGGTCATGCTAAAAACATAAATTAAAAAAAAAATTCCAAAATGTGAAAGGATATGATGGTCTTGACTGGATTATACTTGTAAGAAACAGGAGAAGCTGGACATGCCAAATGATAAATCTGATCAACTTCCAACAATATTGGCTCAACGACGTCGTGTCGAATGAGTTCAAATCTAGGGTTCTTGAAATGGTGTAATAAATTCTCTTTTCGACCTGTGAAAAAATTATCAACCACAATTACACTATCTCCTTGTGCTATTAATCTGTCCACCAAATGGCTCCCAACAAATCCAGCTCCTCCTGTTACTAATATTCTCAAACTCTTGCTCTTCAATCCCAATGGAACCTTTCCACCTACAACAAATTCTTGTTCATTCTCAAATCAAGAGTAAAATAAGTTCAAAGATGTGTTGCTCGGACTTTTCAAAGTTGACGCCGAGTGTGCAGTGACGGAAACAGGATTTTCATCAAGAATATTTAATATATATATATATATATANCTGCACAATATAATTTTCGGCGAAGGGATTCGGCTAAACCTCCACCATCCACTTAGCTTTACATCTTCTAAAAATTAGTGTATTTTTGAAAGATTTTAGACGATCTAACTTGGGTATGATAATATTTTTTAGAGGGTTTGAGCAAGATAGGTTAGAAAGGAACAAATTCACTTTTTGTATAGTCAATCAACTACGCCATAATTTTAAGAGAGTTAAAATTGGTTATATAAATTCTTTATATGTATTCCATATTATTTGAGTCCATTTTATACTACGTAATATTATTCAATAATTTGTCCTTTAAGAACATTTAAAATTACAGAAATTCTCTGAATCTCATACTCCTTTGTTTCTACTACCAGAGTTAGATAGAACACAGATTCAACTAATTAAACCTATCATTTTCCAAACTGGACATAAATATATATTTTAAAAATTAACAAAATTTAAGTAAATTAAATTCTAAACTCATAATTCTAAAGTGCAATACGTATTATAATAGCAAAAACTTTATTAGAAATCATATAAAATTTAAATCTTAAATCTGCTTTGCGTATGATAACATATACATCCTAGCCAATATAAAAACACTTATCTAGACACACAACTTAAAATTTGCAATGATTTTCTACGGAAACAATTCAAGTAGCATTCTTGATTTGCCATTTCCATCCGAGAGGTTGTGAGTTCGAGTCTCCCCAAGAGCAAGGTGAGAAGTTCTTGGAGAGAAGGATGTCGGGGGTTTATTTGGAAACAGTCTCTCTACCCTAGGGTAGGGGTAAGGTCTGCGTACACACTACCCTCCCCAGACCCCCACTAAGTGGGATTATACTGGGTTGTTGTTGTTGTTGTATTCTTGATTTGCCATTTAAGAATGGTATAAGTTCAAAATTCAAGATTTGGGTTACGCGAGGCTGATCTAGAGCTAGCAATTACCTCGAGTCAAACTAATTATTTTCGACTCAAATTATGTATACATAAGAAAACAATAAAAACACACTATACATATATTAAGATTACATTTATCCCGCACTCACTAACTTTAAAACCTGAATTCGCCATAACCATATACCTGCATTAATGTTGTGGTCAGCTTCATCAACCAACTCGTATGCTATTCTTCTTGGAATTGGATTCGACACAAATGTATTTGTATCTTGAATATCAATCTTAAACTCGGACCTCAGAGGAGAAGAAGATACAGAAACCAGAGAAAAAATAACAACAGACATGCCAATTCCAATCAAAAGACATACAAGTCTTTGCTTTTCAAGCACATATTGAATTGGATATTTCAATGAAAATCTCTTCATATTGTTTTTCTTTACGTAATTTTTCTGAAACACCTCATTATCAACTCCCATGTTGGCTTTTTGTAAATAAAATTCTCTCTTTTTTTTTCTCCCTTTTTTTAAGATCTAAATGAAAGAAAAAAAGGAAAATGTTGTTTGTTTAGTTTGTGTGAGAAAGAGAATTAAGAAGAGAAATCGAAGATGACGGTGAATGAAGAAAGTGGAAGCATTTGCATGAATTTTCGCCGTAATAAGATGGATGTCTGAGGAGACTAGTGGCTTTCTTCACTTTGCTTTTTTAGCAAATTAAGCTATTCCACGTGTAATTATATTATCTTACCTCCAATTTTCTAATTCTCCAACACAAAGTGAGTAATTAATTTGGAATTTTCAAGCTTATATTAGTAAGCAATATGGAGCAATATTCTCTTTATATATATAAATATATTTGTGAGTTTATATACCTGACCTTGATTTATTTGGGATAGTAACATAGTTTGTTATTGTTATTATTGTAGATAACTTCTAGTGCGTTTTATTCTTCTCTTTATTTTGTATAATAATAACCCGCACTACCAAAAAAATAAGAATTAACGATGAAAAAATTCTGTAACTAAACAATAGAATTCGTTGGTAATCCTATTTAGCGATAGATTATCAAAAAGTTTTGTTAACTACGAGCAATCTAGTGACAAAGTTCGTAGCCAGTTCTAAATTTTTTTAATGATGCTGAGATGAGCATAAGTAAAACAACATAGTAACATAGTCAGTGAACATTCATATATTCATTTGAAATTGAGGCGTACAATTTTTCTTGCTTTTGCAAATATTTTCACTATACACGTGGGATGTCATACTTTTTGTATTCATCATAATCAAATGTCATTTTGTCATTTGGAGTAAAATGAAATTCTTAACTGGCTTTGGTGCAAAATAAGTAACTAATTTTGTCATTTCATGTCATGTGGAAAGTGCCACAGTAAAACTCAAGAGGAGATGGAGTAAATTTGTGCAGCCCACCGAAGTATAGCAGTCAATATGGGTCGGGTCGGATTAGTCCAATTTAGTCCATGTGAGCTTTAGCAATTGACGGGCTGGGTTGGACTAGCCCATCATTTTGATGGGCCTTATAATGAGGGAAGTGCATCGTTGGTCACTAATAACACAGGTATTTACTTTTAAGCCATCGTTTAAAATGTTTTTAGTCTTTAGCCACTGCTTTAATAAACTTTAACTGTTCGGACGAAAATACCCTTCTGCTCATGTCCTTAACTTCAAGACTTCAGGACTACATGTCCTTAACTTTTGAACTTGGAACTCTAAGTTCAGGACTTCAAGAGTACATGTCCTTAACTTTTGAACTTGTAACTCTAAGTTCAGGACTACATGTCCTTAACTTTTGAACTTGGAACTCTAAGTTCAGGACTTCAAGGCTACATGTCCTTAACTTTTGAACTTGGAACTCAAACTTCAAGACCAAGCGTCCTTAACTTTTGAACTTGTAAGTCAAAGTTAAGGACCTATTGTCCTTAACTTTTATTGTCCTTAACTTTTGAACTTGTAACTGTAAGTTAAGGACTGCTTGTCCTTTACTTTTGAACATGTAACTATAAGTTAAGGATTGTTTGTCCTTAACTTTTGAACTTGGAAATCAAAGTTAAGGACATATTGTCCTTAACTTTTGAACTTGTAACTGTAAGTTAAGGACCGTCTGTCCTTAACTTTAGAACTTGTAACTGTAAGTTAAGGACTGTCTGTCCTTAACTTTTGAACTTGTGTCCTTAACTATTGAACTTAATTTTAGGACTTCAAGACTACATTTTCTTAACTTTTGAACTTGTGTCTTAACTATTGAACTTAACTTTAGGACTTCAAGACTACATTTCCTTAACTTTTGAACTTGAAACTCTAAGTTCAGGACCATATTGTCCTTAACTTTTGAATTTAACTTTAGGACGTCAGGACTACATGTCCTTAACTTCTGAGAAGGAATTGCATTTCCTGTTTACTCATCACTCTTTTTCTTATTTTCACAACGTCATATCTTAATCTTTTTTTAAAATCTGGAACCTCTCCCCATTCTCATTTTGCTTTTGTAATCGTTCCCTTATGTTCTTCATGCTTGTTTAGCTTATCAACAAGAACTATAACCAAAGGCATTTAACATTCAGTAGCATTAATAGAAGTTCGTACCATTTGGTGCTCTCGTTGACCTTCCTTACCAATGGGTGAAGGTGAGGTTCCGTATACACGATTGCGCACCTTAGATGCGGAAATGAAACAGTATAAATACACTGCACTTCCGTTTGGGAAAAGAGAAAGAAGAAAGGGTAACACAGTCTTTTCATATTAATTTTAATAGACTAGTGGCTACTATTGCTAAACATTAAAAATGCTGGATAAAAAGTAAATACCAGCTTAAACAGTGGCTACCCCACGCCATTTCTACCCTTATAATGGCTAACCCACCCCAACCTTATGTGGTCTGCGGGCCCCCATGGGCTGGCCCATCATTTTTAAAAGTAAAATTTTATATTTTTTCTTTAAGTACTAAAACTTATGAAAAGATAAATTAAAAGTTAAAATTGGAAAAATTTCTTAAAACTTAATAACTTTTTATATTATTCTATTATATCACAATGAATACTAAAAAAGTAAAAGGCGAGATTATATTTCATTTACTAAAAGTCAAAACTCAAAACAAACTATTCAAGAGAATGTCCATGATCCTTATGGGATATCTAACACATCTTCATCAAACACATTTGAATCCACTTGTGACAAGGTTGTTTTAACATCTTTACTTTCATCTACATCTACAATTCATATGCAATATTAATTAGTTAAATAGTAAGAGTACTTAAATTTTTAAAAACTAATAATATTCAAATTTATATAAAAAATATTATCAGTTTGAGTTTGGGAAAGCCGTGCAACCAATTTCGAGTAGTAACAAGTTGTTTGGATATTTTCATGATGGATGCAACTTTGTGCTTGGTAAGAACACACACAACAATGCTAAATGCTACAGTATTATATACTGTTTAAATTTTAAATATTTTAAATAATTTTTTTATTAAGCCCATGGGCCAGCCCAGCCAAACCTCACGGGCCACGGGTTTATTCGAGCTGGGCTTAAAAGCCTCTTTTTAAATGGGCTCCAAAATTGATACGAATCTAAGTACGGAATTGAAGAAATTGTAGACAAGATAGAAATTAAGAATAAACCCAATAAAGAGGTAATTGTCAAACAATTGAAATAATCAATTACCCAACAAATTACAATAATTAGTAGACCTAAACTATAGGATTACCCTTGAGAGGAATGGAATTCCTCTTGTGAATACGTCTTGCAAGCGTTTGAATCAACAAGTTGGAAACACATGCTCCTCACATTCTTCAATATTCAAAGATAAGCTAAAGTAGAAATGACCTCATCATATGTTACTTATACTAGGTTCGAATAAGGTAAGAAAGACATAAGTACCCCTAATGGGACTAACTACTATGCCTACAAGGGAAATCTTATAACCCAGTCTCCAATCATTGGCAAGCATGGCCTAGGTCCACATGTTTGCTTCCAAGTCATCGAGGGGCTCACATGTGCGCCTATTACCATCCATGTATGCATGACGCGGTCACCATCCAAGTTTCCATGCTCCTCCAAGATCTCCACCCTCAAAACATTGTATACCTTCAAGGGTCTTCGACAATTGTCTTCCAATGCTTCCAAGATATCCCAATGCTTGGTGAAGAGGTGAAAATCCCTTATTTCCTTGGCTTGAGATCTTGTGAATGACCTAGATGCCATTGGTGTTCCTTGAGGTGTATCATTCTCCACTTCTTGAGAAGCATTTGTCCTCAAATGCAGATCATCATAATCACCTACAACACAATGAAGCAAGTCACTAATATTGAAAACATTATGAACTTGATACTCACTTGGCAAGTCTATCTTGTAGGCATTGTCATTGATTTTCTCTAACACTTGGTAAGGGTGTTCTCCTCTCGGCATAAGCTTTACTTTCCTTTTGCTTGGAAATCTATCATTCCTTAGGTGTAACCACACCCAATCATCGGGTTGAAGGATCACTTTCTTCCTTCCTTTGTTCCTTTTGCTAGTTACTTGTTGATATTTCTCCTCTAGTTGTGCCTTGACCCTTTGATGAATCATCTTCATGGCATCAACTCTCTTTTGTGCATCTAAATCAATAATAACATCTTTGGAAATAGGAGTAAAATCCAAAGGAGTCAAAGGGTTAAAACCGTATACAATCTCAAAAGGTGTCATGCAAGTAGAAGAATGCAAAGATCTATTATAAGCAAATTCAACCTAAGGCAATTGTTCTTCCCAAGATGTGTATTCCCTTTCATTATAGCCCTCAACACATTCCCTAACGATCTATTGACTACCTTGGTTTGACCATCCGTTTGAGAGTGACAAGAAGTAGAAAACAACAAATGAATACCCAATTTTTCCCACAAACTCCTCTAAAAGTGACTCAAGAATATACAATCTCTATCACTCACTATGGTTCTTGGTACATCATGCAACTTAAGCACATTCTCAACAAACAAAGTAGTAACATGACTAGCATCATCACTCTTGTGGCAAGGAATAAAATGAGCCATCTTAGAAAACCTATCTACCACCACAAAGATGCTATCTTTACCCTTTCTAGTCCTAAGCAACCCTAACACAAAATCCATAGAAATATATATCCAAGGTGCACTAGAGATGGGCAAAGGTGTATACAATCTATGGGGGTATGTCCTAGATTTAGCACTTACACACTCAAGGCATTGACTACAAATATTCTCTACATCATGCTTCATCTTAGGCCAATGTAAATTCTCCTTCAAAATGTCTAAGGTCTTTGCTACTCCAAAACGACCCATAAGACTTCCACTATGTGCATCCCTAACCAACAACTCTCTCCAAGATGACTTAGGCACACACAATCTATTTCCTCTAACCAAGAACCCATCAAACTTATGAAACCTCATCAATTTTTCATCATTTAATTCATTAGGTCTCCTAAATTGTTCTACTTGATCACATCTACCACAGGCTTCTTTAAAGTCATCATCTAGTGGGTACATTTCTTTCATACTCAAGCCCATCAACCTAGAGGTAAGGGTATTTATCAAAGAATATCTCCTAGACAAAGCATCGGCAATCGCATTATCCTTCC